TTCTCCAGTGCTTCCATTTAATTTGGGAGTCTTCAATGTCGGCCAAGGCCTTTCGAGGGCCCAGTCATTGTTTAGAGAATCGGGTTCAAGTTGTGGCTTCCTCTGCTTTCTGTTTGTTTGTTTGTTTGTTTGTTTGGTTTTTTTTTTTTTTTTTTTTTTTTTTTTTCTTATCATGCTTGTGAGGAGCTGGTCGTCTTCAATTATCTTTTTTGTGCTTATCAGTCTGTCCCATGCCGCTTCGGTTATAACGTGCAGATAGTCCGCCATGTGTTCCTTGGCCTGGATGAAACTGAAGGCATTTGTGTGTCTTTCGGGTGAGCAGCCCTCCAGGCTACCATGAGCAGTTCCAACCTCGTTATTTGGAACAGGTTGGTCTCGTACAAAGACCACGCGGGAGGATCGCCTGTGTGTTTTCCAACGAGGAGCAGTGGCAGGTCCCATGGGTACCGGGAGCCCGTTAGCGCGTTCCAGGCCGCGTCCCACCATCTCCAGATCTGGGCAGCCATCGGGCAGGCCAGGAGGCAGTGTTCCGTTGTGGCTCTCATGAGTTGGGCAGACCTGTCGCAGTATCTGCAAATGGGGGAGAAAAACCATTTCTGCTCCAACTGCATTCTGGATATGATCCAGTCTGAAGTAGGGAGGCAGTGGTAGACAATTTGCCATTGGAGGGCTCTATGCGACGTAGGCATTATCTGTGCATAAGGTGCCCACATGAGTTCACCCCAGTCAATCATGGGGAGCACCGAGTCCCTCTCCCCTCTGTTTTGGATTACTCGGGTCACTGGATGTTTGGTGTGCAGTATGCGGTAGCCCTGTTTGACTGTGTACTGCCACAATTTTTTTGACTTGGCCTCCCCCATCTATGGCCATTCCCAATCAGCAGGATCGAAAGGGAGTACACAGATGGGGGTGGCCGGCTCGAAAGCGTGATAGGTGTGATCCGGTCCTTTGAGGACCTGGATTCTTTTTTTTTTTTTTGAAAAGCGAGGGCCCAGTGCCCAAGGCTCCAATTATGAAATTGATTACAACACTTGTATGCACGCCTCTTCCCATTAGGGCTGGAAGAGCCTCAGCCATTGCTCCCCTGGAGACAGCTTCCCTGCCTAACACGAATACAACATTGTGATGGGGCATTGATTGCTACCCCAGTGAGGAAGGATTAACCCTGTTTGTGTGCAGAATCAATCTCTGCCCTACGAAACTCCTCAATTATCCCTACTTCCATCTTCTACACAGTGAGGAGTAGGGGAGATATGAACAAGGCAAAAGGATTGATAACAGGGCGAGAAGGTATAGTAGTTCATTTGTAATTGCGACAAGCGTCCCCTAAACAACAGTAGTTAACACAGACACAAACCCAAGGGGAGCACTGTAGTTTGAAAAAAATTCTAATCTAAACGTGAAGACCATCAAACCAAGTCAAACCCTAGCCAATGATGACCAAGGATTGAATCTGGCCCCATTAGATGGAGATGGATTGAGATCAAGTGCCATGAGAGAGAAAAAATTCACCAAACTGCCGACAACCACACAGATGAAAAAGAGAGGGGGAGGGAGGGAAAAAAAACAAACCAAGAAGTCATCCCTGCCTCCTAAACCCTCGCTCCGCAGCCTCTCATCTTCCTCCCGAATCCCACGGAAAAAACTCGCCATCGTTCCACCCCTCACCGCATAGCCATATCAGCATCATCTCATGCACGACAAAATTTTCATGCAAGAAGGCGGGAAGAAACCGAATAGCCCTCACCATAGTAGTTGGCCCATCAACAGATCTTGGTTGGACGCCAATTGTATAGAACGAAGTGGGCAAGCCAATCGTGGTTGAAGATTGTATTTTAGATGTCATCGTCAGGATCGCTGTTGTTGTCGTTGGAAAAATAGTTGGTGTAGATGATATCGTGGTTGGCACTGATCATGTAGATAGTGTACTGGATGTCTCGGATGTCATCGTCAGGATCGTTGTTGTTGTCGTTGGAAAGATTGTTGGTGTAGATGATGTCATCGCGGTTGGCGCTGTTGATGTAGAAAGTGTTTCAGATGTCATCGTCAGAATCGCAGTTGTTGTTGTTTGAAGAATTGTCGGTGTTGATGATGCCATCGTGGTTGACGCTGTTGATGTAGATATAGTTGACGAGCCTATTTCAGATGTCGTCGTGAGTAGCGCTGTTGTTGTCCTGATGACGCTCATCGAGGACCCGGATTTTTATTAGGCCGGCCCAGTTAACTGTTACATCGCCCTCCTCGGACCTCAGTAATCTGGCGCATCTGGCTTGTTGGTCGGTTATACGGTAGGCTTGGAGGCAGATTTTGTTATCCATTTTTTCCACCACTTTCCATGCCATTGTTCGGCTGTGGAGGACCTCATAGCGCACCACCCCGCCAATTGGATGGACTCAAGTTTCTATGTCCTCCTTTGGACATATTTAAGTTGGTCTTTTAGTTGTTCTTCAGTTTTCCATTGGCCCCTCCTGTCATCCCATATGTCCCCTATCGTAAAGATCCCTTTGGCCACCCACGAACGCTAGTGGGAACCGACTGTGAGCTACAGCGGGGTTTCATTGTCGTCTACTATGCTCGGGTTTCCGAAGAAAGGCTGTCTTCTTATTTATTGCCAACGAAGTTGGGCCCCGCCCCCCTCCCCCCCCCAACTTCACCCAACCCCTGTTTGAGAACCCGAGGATCTTGGCAGAAAATGGTCTCGCGTTTGCCTGTTTTAGTTTGGCAGCATTTGGTGACTCTTGGATGTCCAGAGGGGTTGGGACGGTATGTAATGCATGCGACCTGGATATGGGTCACTGGAGAACAGCTGACCAACGGTCTCCAAAGCTTATTGGTCTTAGACACCAAGCCGTTCATTTAGCAGCCCTGAGTAATGCGATGCCACCTGAGTGGGTGTAAGCTCTGCAGGCTGGTATTACATTAAACAAAGACACCTGGTATACAAAATCGCACGATCGGCCTTCGGCCTGTCTGTGGAAAATTGATCACATATCAGATGATGGTGTGGTGACATCTTCGTCATGGGAGGCTCAAGGAGCACAACTGTCTCTGGGACAGGAGATGACCTTAATGGATCAGCAGATCCCCCTCCCTTTGTTGCCACAGCTTGTACCGGTCTGTGTCTTGGAATATAAGGACTCGGTCAGACCATTTGCTATCTCACTTCCGACATACACTTTGCCAGTTGACCCAAGGGATTGGGCATGGGAGCATCCCCTCACTCTTGGGAAACTAAACTTCTATCAATACTCAACAAGATTGGGATATCAACTTACTCGCCGCCAAATAGATGTGGCATGGCAGGTGGCCAGAAGGTGGATTGCTTCCGGTTGGTGCATGACACGGCAGTGAGTCTGGTGTCTTCACTACCGCGATTTTGGAAATTATTGATGGACCTATCTATAGTTAAACAAGTGAGTTTTTTGTGGCAAGTTATGCACCTAGTGCTCCCGACTGCAAGTTGGTGCGCCAGAAGAGCGTCCAGAGCATCGCCACTGTGCGTTCTGTATGAAGGCACAAGAATTGAGAACCTCCAACACATGCTTCTCCACTGTCGGTCGTCTATGGTTCTTTGGGAGTGGTGGCGAGGGGCTTCGGTCCCAGTGCTGCAGACCGCCTCGAGATGGTCAGATGATTTCGTCCTGCTGGGGAATGCGTCTCACCGGCAAACAGCCATTGGACCCCTGGGGTATGCAGAGGATACATTGCGAGGCGCCGTGCTTTGGACTCTTTGAAGTCTAAAAAACTCCGCAGTCAAAAGGGAAGAAAGGCTTAGCCCAAATGATAAGAGCGGAGGTCAAATACAATATCGACCTGGCTATTGCTACAGACTGGACACACGAAGTGTTGAACAAAGGATACTGGACTAAGCCAATGAATCTCTTCCTTTCTCATTGGATGCAGTTTCCAGATCTGGTCAAGGTTTCTGTGCAACAGCAGTCTGTACCGGAGTTGTACTTTTGAACTTTTCGTCTTTCTTTTTTGTGACATTTTGTTCCTCGTTTTCCTTTTGCATTCTTCTTATCTTTCTCTATGTCGGTTTAGTTGTGGCTGTCCGGTTGTAGTTGTATAGCTGTTTGTTTTGTTTGCTACCTGTTTGGTTGTAGGATGGGTTACTGCCTGTTACTGTAGAAGAGTAGGGTAGCTCGGAGACCTTGTGGAGGTTGTTGGCGTGATTGGTGATTGCTGGCGTGATTACTTAGGATGAACATTTCCTGCAATCCGGATCTAAATCTGGCCCCGGGTTGGTGATTGTAAGAGACGTCGGGCCTGCTTCCCAGTTTTGTATAATAATAAAGCATCCTTCGCCAAAAAAAAAAAAAAAAAAAAAAAAAAAGAAGAAGAAGAAATACGGCGAAGGCACACCGTGGCGGCGCTCCGCTAGGCAACCCAGCGCTGTCTCCCGAAGTTGCTGGCACTGGGGCTAGGATTCCACCCAGGCTATGGCTATCAAACCTGGCTGGCCCCGGCGGCCTACGGCGGTCGTGCTCATTCTTTTGGGCAAAAAACTTGTCTGGCACGCCTGTTTGCATGCTAGGAGTGGGTGTGAAGTGTTGTGCATGGTGACATGAGTATTTCGAGTGTTGGTGTGCCTTCGCCTATTGCCCTAATTGTAACCAAGATCAGGGCGTGATTGGTGTTGCTGGTCTATTTTTTTCTTTGTTTTTTAATTTATTTTAGAAAGGCCCTTGTGCAAAGCCTC